CTGCCAACACCTTGTTTTGCTTCCTACCTCCCACTGCTGTGATGATATTTTCGACACCTATTTTGGTCCGACTTTTAGTACTATAATATATATTTATATGCGGAGGGATACCCCTTGAAGTACAGTCAGCAGAGGCGGCTGTGTCTTTTTGCCTTTTACTCGTCATACATGTAATTCCCGGCCAGGAATGAAGGCTTGTTGGCGTGGGTTGTACTGAAATTTCGAGGACGCAATGTCATGTCGTCTCTCTCATGCGGATTTATCAATCAGTCACCTATTCTGTGCGCGCCGGTCGCCGTAGCCCTATCAAATTGCGTTCGTGTTCCCCTGTCTTTCGGCAAGTCGGGGAATGTCTCTGTGTCTTGGGACTTTTTGCCCTTATAGTGTCGCTTCTACCTATCTGAATGACCTGGACACTTGTGCAAAACGAGTTTTCTGGCAGGTGATCGAACGATGAGTAATTGTGACCAGATAGTCCTACATCACTCTTCAGGATAGCCGTGAGCTGCGTCTCCACTCATCGAAGCGGTCGACGTTGGTAGTCTTGTTCAATGTTTCCTTCCCTAATCTGTCCTGTGTAGGGTCACTTCGAAATTGGACTCCCTGGGTTGTCTCTCAATATTCGCAAACATCAGGCTATCTCTGTTTCATGCCAGCCGATACGGTGGCAGCTGAGTGGCTGAGGATGGGATGGAGGCATCACCTGACAGGGTAACAGGTACCAACGGTGTTACATTCGCCTGTTTCGCGTGTAATGAACAGTTCCCCTCGGTACTACATCTATAATTTGCTGGGCAAGTGGGTGACTGCTGTTTCCTTGAGCCTGACGCACCAAAAGCCTACAAAATGGATGGTAGGCGTTAGGGAGCTCGTCTTGTAGTTCAAACAATACTAGAGTACTTAAATGTGCACTCTGAAAGTGACTAATTAAACGGGTGCGGTTTCCTTCCAGTCGTTTGGCGGTAGCTTCTAATATCGTAAGGCTGCCAAAATCCCTGGCAAGGCGGAGGCTTTGGGGAAGTAAGCAACTTCAGAAGCCTGGGAGCCATGCTACTAAAGAGGCGGGGTCGACAATACCCGAATCGATGACGCTCGGGAGTTTCCAGCCACAATCCAGGGACGTCCATAGACCTGTTATCTTAACCGTCGTGTTACCGCAGTCAGTGCTCTTGAAATTGTTTGTGCAGTGAGTTGTGTGAGTAGATGGGCGACTTCTTGAGTAAGAAGGGGGAAGATGAGTTTAACCACCGTCGCCAAAAACTCGAGGAGGTCTATCCGCACAAACTACGGCAACTTCGCGGTCATCTTGCAGCTTGTATGAGAAGGCAAACTGATGTACTTTAGGCAGGTCTTTGGTCTGCCGGCCTACAGAGTGAGCGCTGCTCCAACTTCCTCATCACTGCCTCTTTGGAGTCGACGTTGGGGGAGGGGGGTGGGTTGCAACTTAAGCCATAGTGCGTCGTTAGAAGCGAAAAGACGAGTCCCAGGAAGCAGTCTTGAAGATGAAGACACGATCGCCGGGACAAGAGCTTTATTAGCCTGACGTTTCGGATTCCTACTCGAATCCATCATCAGAGACATAAGCAGATAAGGGTGGTTCATGCACATGCGGCTGCAGTATTTATAGGATGCAGTAGCCATGCCACCGCATACCTATGAATATTCACGGCTCCCTCCCCTTTATCAGGGCTCGTTGCACGTGGCGTGATGGCCGATATTCGCGTCGTTAATTGCTGCAATTTCATCACGTGCGTTGGATGTTGGTGTGATGATTGCTCGACCATCTGACACGCTGACCCGGGTGTTGGGAAGAGTGTTCATCAGGGCGCTCCCGCGTGGCCAATTACTCCGCCTAGACGAAGTCTCAGCACGCTGTATTGAATGGGAAGATCATTGCACTTGTTAATAGACTGGGGGCCAGTGAACCATGACTCAAGCAGCTCCCGGCTCACGCGGTTGTCACCTCTTGCGAGAATTTCGGCCTCGTCAAATTTGAATGTGTGGGCGGAACCCGTCGAATGAGCCGCAACTTGGGAGCTGGCGTCATTTCTCCGCACTGCTGCAGCGTGTTCGGCCATTCTCGTTCGGAGCTGTCTTCCGGTTTCTCCGACGTAGTTGATTTGTCCGCAACTGCACCAAATCCGATAAACTACTCCAGACGTTTCTTGCCGTGCCTTTTGGTTTCATCAATTGGCGCCTGATGGTTGCCTCTGGCCTGTGTGCAACTCCAACCCCCAGCGGTGCGAGAAGGCGGCCAACAGCTTCCGAAACGTTCTTGACATATGGAAGCGCTCGCCAAACTTTGGTGTCCCTGCGGTTAGGTCTTTCGTCCATTTTGCGTATGCACCGGTTGACAAAGTTGCCCGGGTAGCCATTGGCTTTGAATACCCGTCGGAGGTATTGTAGTTCAGCAATCTTGTCTTCCGGCTCACTGCAGTGCGTTTCGACACGCCGATAGAGCGTCCTTACACAACTGCGTTTATGACTGATTGGGTGGTTGCTGTTGAAGCTCAGTACTTGCATCGTATTTGTCGCTTTCCTGAACACTTTGGTCTTTAGTCCACCACAATCCTTGCGGCATACGAGGACATCCAGGAAGGCCAACTGGTTGTTCTCTTCCTCCTCCATCGTAAATTGTATGTCCGGGAAGACCGCATTCAGATGTTCCTTGAATGTCAGCAGTTGATCCCGTTCGATGACGACGAAGGTATCATCCACATACCGGGCCCAGAATTTCGGTCTGTGGTGTTGGAAGACCAGCGACTCTAACCGTTGCAGGGCCGCCTCGGCGATGAACCCCGAAATCGGCGCCGTCTCCAATATATGAATTTGGTTCTTGGGCTTTCGATATTCGGTCTGTGGTGCTGGGGGTAAGCGGGGTCGAGTTAGCCGGGCTGTTTCCTCGGAGAGTCGCTGGCGGAGAGCCACCAGATGAGGCATTTACTTAGGCCGGCCAAATCAAGCACGTCCACAGTCATAACAAGTACAGGTTTTAATGGCCGTCGGTTCGGGAGCACGATTTCGGCTTGCCAAAGCCCGACCTCTCATGGGATGAAGCGGGCGGAGCGACGCAAAGTCCTCGCTTCCTGTCATTGAAGGCGAAACCGACCGAGGTTCTTTGTTCTGTGCGAGTGTCGAGGACGCCATCCACGTCGTCGACTTGTCACCCTGGCGGATGCGATGCGGCCTTAGTCCGTTGATGGCGCCCATCCAATATTCTGACCTGTCTGGTGTTTTTTCAGTTCGATTGACATGCAATTGGGAGGAATACACTTCGTGACAGGGCTTTCAGACCAGGGTCTTAAGTGCTCATTAAGACGGCTATATTTCCGGGGCTTCTGACGATGATGATGATGACGACGATGACTTTGTTGGTTGTGGTAATGGTGGCGGTGGTGGGGAGAAGGAGGAGACTCGGAAAGATAATGTCTGAAGAATCAGAGACTTGTTATCATATATAAAGAGAAAAGCGGGACACGAAGTAGGTTCAACTGACGAGTTTGCACCATCGGCTAATTGGTGTTGATTCGGTTGTGGTGCGGAGTTGACCTGTGTCCTGACGTCGTTTTGAAACCTAGTTTGCATTAGAAAGCCCTTGGTTAGGTTCTGCAGTGAAAGAAGACCACTTCCATAGGAGTCATTCTGCAATCAGTCCCATACCGCGGGGGACATATAGTAAAAAAACATTACTGGAATTCGGAATCATGACTTCGGTTAGGAGAGATTGCTTCAGTTGGGTTCTTTGATTACGCGTCCTTCTGACTACCTGGAAGAACCTCACCCACCAAGACAGGACTAAGCGCGTAGTAGGAAAATTTTTCGCCAGTTATCGATGCTTTTGTAAATCCAAGTATATTTTCCTGAGCATAATTCCTTACATCCATTCCGCAGCAAATCACGTCTTGAAATTTTATACTTCAAGTGGTGGTACCTTTCAGTCGCAAAAAGGCTTTGAATTCTCAAACGAGCTTGAACCCGACGTACATTTGTACACTTTGCACTTAAGAAAAACCATGCTTTCCTTTGTGACACTAGAAATGTGCAGTATAGCTCCAAGATTCCCGACGCCTGGCGTACAGTGAGAATCACTCCCATCCATAAAAAGCCTGCTAACTTTGGTCCTAAATCTTTTCGCCCAATTGCCTGCTCCTCTGCAATACTAAAGCTTGCTGAAAGAGTTGCCCTAGATATCATTAAGCCTTTTTCTTCCAGTTTTTCCGACCCCTTACAATTTGCATACAAAGTCAAACGGAGTACTTTAGATGCTGTCGCTCTTGTGGTCCACTCTGCTCTAAAAGCATTAGACAAGGGTTGCCGCGAGCATGCGTGCGCTTTTCTTGATTACTCCTCCGCCTTCAATACCGTCCCGCGCCTTCTTCTCCTTTCCAAAACCTCCGCATGCGGCTCTCCGGGCTGGGTCGTCTCTTGGCTGAGCGATTATTTTACCTTCCGCACTTAATTTGTCCAATCTGGCAAGCGGAAATCTTCGACCCTTCCCAATGACTGCGGTGTTCTTCAAGGTTCCATTCTATCCCCTCACCTTTTCTCCCTCCACACTGATGATCTCAGGTCTCCTAATTACTGTCTTCTGGTCAAGTATACTGACGATGTGGTTGTTGGACACCCTCTCAAAAGTCAGACACACCTCCGGTCTCTAAAGGAAGGCCTAAACCATATCCTAGCGTGGTCGGAGGAAAATGGTCTCCTAATTAACAACCAAAAATCCGTTCAGTGTATTTTTCGACTGCGACCCTCTTCTAACCCTGATTCCTCTGACATTCTTCCTAACGAAGTATCCTCTTTCAGGTATATCGGCGTTACTTTGTCCTCAAATCTTTCTTTTTCCCTCCATATTGAGTGCCTATTTATTAAAGTTCGTAAACTTCTTTACTACATTCGTCGTTTACGTTCCTACCACACACCTCAACCCTTAGTCTGGCGATTCATTGATGCCTGCATTCTTCCTCTTATCCTATACTGTTCTCCTGTAATTTTTCCTGCTTTGTTAAAAAAGGATCTTTTTATTTTGAGACGAGTCCTCCGCATGCTCTCTTCTGCTGCTGGTGTTTCTTATATTTTTTTAGTTGACACTATCTTACAACGACACTTCAATGCGGTCAAGCAATTTGCTGGTCGAATTCTAGAGGACGTTGCCCATCCCCTACATTCCGATCTTATGTCTGCCAAGTCTTCCCGCCCGATGCGCCGCAACTTCCGTCTTATATCCTGTCGCACATCGGCTTATCGAGCTTCTGTATTGCCATTCCTAGCGCGCTATCTTACCTGCGAAGAGACAGAAATACAGAAGCTAAGACTTGAATTATCCCCATAATAATCGGTTCTTTGTGTTAAAATTTGACTCTTGAATAATCTATTAACTTATTTACTGCCCATAGTGAATGGAGCCAACTTTTTGCTGAAAATTTTGAACATATGATTTCAAAATAAAGCGCATTCCTCTCTCTCTCTCTCTCTCTCTCATGACAGTTGACAATCGCGATGTGGAACTTTGTACATTTTAAAAGGTGCGTTACTTGACGGACAGATACGATAACACTTGAATAAACATTTTAAAATCTTAGAACATCGTGTCCCCTCTGACACCTGTCATCGTCGTAAGGACCTGGTTAGACTGAGATGAAGGACATCATGGCCCATTCCGAGAAGTGGTTCATAGTATGAGCATACCACTTCCTGTGGTGGGGGACGCTCACCGATCGTTCTTACGGAACTCACTCGTTCCACTGTGCCTTCTGCACTCTCTCTCTCTCGAGCCCAATCAGCAGCCGCACATCGGCGCATGATATATAGGCAGAATGGTATTACCGACAAAGACAAGGGAGACTGGAATGGCCATTTCTGGCTTATTAGCCGTCGTCAGACAGTCATACCCAAGCCCGAAGTGTGGAACACCCGTGGCCCGAACTCGCGACCTGTTAGTTAGAAGTCCACGCCTCTAACCACCGGGCCACGAGCCCGTTGCCCTGTCGGTTTCGATCGGGAAGATACAATGGTAGGGGGCGCTCACCGATCGTTCTTACGGAACTCACTCGTTCCACTGTGCCTTCTGCACTCTCTCTCTCGAGCCCAACCAGCAGCCGCACATCGGCGCATGATATATAGGCAGAAGAGGCATTACCGACAAAGACCGGGGAGACTGGAATGGCCATTTCTGACTTATTAGCCGTCGTCAGCCAGCCATACCCAAGCCCGAAGTGTGGAACACCCGTGGCCCGAACTCGCGACCTGTTAGTTAGATGTCCACGCCTCTAACCACCGGGCCACGAGCCCGTTGCCCTGTCGGTTTCGATCGGGAAGATACAATGGTAGGGGGCGCTCACCCATCGTTCTTACAGAATTCACTCGGTCCGTTGTGCCTTGCGGGCTCTTTCTCTCGAGCCCAACCAGCAACCGCACAGCGGCGCATGATATATAGGCAGAAGAGGCATTACCGACAAAGACCAGCGAGACTGGAATGGCCATTTTTGGCTTATTAGCCGTCGTCAGACAGTCATACCCAACCCCGAAGTGTGGAACACCCGAGGCTCGAGCTTCATCGAAACCGGCAGGGCAAAGGGCTCGTGGCCCAGTGGTTAGATGGGTGGACTTCTAATTAATAGGGGCTTCTGCCTGGAATTATATCCACAATGACCGCATCCCCAACCCCCCCCCCCCTTTTTGGAAGATCTAGGCAATTCACTCTGGCAGTGATTTGGGCCAATTTGTCCGTTCGGTGGTGTTGGAACCGAGGGTACAAGACCCGGAGAGGCAGACAAACATCCAGTAGCAGATAATGAACGATCAGTAATGACCACGAAACGGATTTCTTGAGCCCCTATCAACGCATCATCCAGATCGCACTCCGCCCCACCCAATTTTAAAGAGGTACACCGACCAGAACGATGGAGACAGAGGAAACAGTTGTTTTGGCCTTCGGTACGCCTTGTCCAGCAAGGAATGTACCCGTCCAACATTTGAAACTGCAGATAGCGACGATTTGGCAGTCGCAAACTATGAACCTAGAGGCGCGTCCAGGGAGTGGATGCGGTACCAGTGACTTGCACGTGAGTCGGTCCATTATGGGATTGACTTTCGACGCATCTAACTCACATCCTCCTTCCTCACCAACCCTGTCCCTATGCCAAGACTATCGGAGGTAGGCCCGGATCCAATGTCTGGCAGATCTGAGCAGCCCGTCTTCGCGTGCCACACACGACCCCTCCGAATGTATCATGCTACTGTGAGTGCGGCTCGGGTCCCACATAGAAGGGAATCCGCAAGGAGCATGTTAAGAAGGAGGCGT